TAGCCACTTTGACTATTCGCCCTCGCCTACCCTCCTAAGCCCTTGTCGGACGTACTCCATTGCACGAAAGGTGGAGCCCTCGTCACCTCACCTCACAGTCTGCCAGTGACCACCATCGCCTAGTTAATTAGCCAGTTGCCACGGCCATTCCTTTAAGCTTGTGCGTCCCCTTCTTCTTCCCTAAACCCTACCAGAGCCATCGCCGTGTATGAGATTTAATGCCATAACTCTGATTTGTATTTTACTTTTTATTGGTGCAGTTGGGAAATCTGCACAGATAGGATTGCATACTTGGTTACCCGATGCAATGGAGGGTCCCACTCCAGTATTTGCTTTGATTCATGCAGCTACTATATGGTCACTGCTGGCGTTTTCATGATAGCAAGGTGCTCCCCAATTGCAATAGAGAGGAAATAGGAGGACAAACCCCATTGTTGGGCTAACAGCTCGTTATGCAATCTATCTTGCGCCAATACGAACCCTAACCTTAAAATGGGGCAACATTGATTTCTTCGTATCACGAGGAAGAGGGATACATGTAGAAACCGTGGCATGCAAGGAGGAAGAATAGTGGGCACGGCGAACGAGGGTTTCTCTGTGTGACGCAAGGTGGAAGAAGCAACCCGCAATGGGATGAAGAGGACATTAAGATCGATGATTGGTGAGGCGATAAGGTTGGGGGCCTACATATGGTTGGGTTCAACCTATGCACATCGGATGGATGGATGTGTGATGACACGCACATGAGGGATCGGAGTTAACCCTCGCACACATAGAAAGTAGTGTTTCCCTATATATTTTTTTTCACTTTGACTATTCACTCTCTCCTACCCTCGTTAACCACTTTATGCAACCCTTTATTTGCCACTATCAGTGGCCCCAGTGGTAAAAGCTAAAAGTTCAAATAAACATGCCCTTAATTTGCAACTAGGGCAAGGCAATGGGAGTTTTCATTACTTGGTCCGCTTTCTCTCAAAAGGATAGATGATTCACGATGCACTGTATTGTTGCTAAGCATTTGCTCTTCTCGTTGCATGGTGCGGAACAAATAGTCCTACAAGATAGGCATCGAAAAGCATGCATCGATGCATATCTATTCCGATGTCTTAATGAATTGGGAAATCACATGAGACTGCATTCACAGCCACCGTGTCCGGTCGACCGGCCCCGGGAATTCGAACCAGATGCGTGCGCTTGGTTTGCCAGCGCCGCCTCCGTCGTCAAGCCTTAATTAGCTCTAGCGAGATAGTACAAGTGGCCTGCACGCGCGTGCGTGGGCCTCAAGCCCTCAACTTGATGCACGGCCCCATCAGGAGCCAGGTGATGCTGAATTTTTTATTTTTTAGCCAATTTTTTTAAAAAAATCGCAAATATGTCTCTGGAGGTAAGATTTTAAAATCTAGACCCTTAGCTCGGTGTCATCGTTGCTGGCGCTGAGCTTACACTGCTCGGTGCCATCGTTGCTGGCGCCGAGGTCTTGGGCTCGACGCAGACGTGGCGGTGACTTGGCAGGCAGCTTCGGCACCATAGATCCTGGCGCCAAGCTTGGCGCCGTAGATCCTGGCGCCAAGCTTGGCGCCATTATCTATGGCGCCGAGGTGGTGTTTTAACTCCGGCCCCAACCTTCCTGCCCGAGCCTTCTTCCTCTTCTTTCTCCTCTCTCTCGGGTTTTTTGTCTCCCCACTTCGCCCTACCTCACGAATCAACATATTGGACCTTAAAAACTTTGATTTGATCCATAGATCTTTGAGAGCAAGGTATCATCGCCCCTCCTAGTTTTTTTTGCATCGATTCGTTATATATTAGTCGGATTTTACAACCTAAGAATCGTCATGACTTAGGGTTTCATGCAATTTTTAATATTTGTATTATACAACCGTAGGATGATGCCAAGGTAACCGCAGCGCATGTTGTTGTTATGGGTTCATTGTTGTGCATCAAATGGGAAACCCTAAGTTTAGGGTTTAATGTTAAATCCTTTCGGTTCTTAGAACGAAATTGGTTGTATTGTAGTTATGGTTCTCATTGACATTAATTTGTGATGTTTTAATTTTTGTTTGTTAAATTACAACCGTTTTGTTAGATGCAAAAAATGTATCGGGAGGAGTTTTGGCGAAAATGGGGTCGTCCTCAAGAATTATACCCCGACATGTGTAGCAAAGATGCCGCCATCCCTCCTGACCTCCCTGTCTCTAACTGTGAATGTGATTTCCCGGCCGACGTGTTTCAATCGAGACATCTAGACACAGCGGCACGTTGCTTCTACACATGCAGTCGTTTTAATGTAAGTAATTGTTTCCACTATCTTTTTTTCTTCATTTGTGTAAGTAGGCTACTAATATTTTGTTGGAATCTTGTTGTGTAGGACCATGAGAGGTGTTTTTTCTTTTAGTGGATCGACGATGCAGACAAGTTTTACACTAGGTACCTCCTTTTCGACGATTGGTGTAGAGGAAAACATCCACGTGAGCACTTCAAGCCATGGGTTCCACCCCCCTAACCCCCCGTCAATGACGGCTAAGGAGAAGCACCTAGCCGCAGTTAGACGACTCAAGAAACCTCCTCTGTGCGAATACGGAGATCGAGTTGTGATAAACCCTGAGAATACGTTGGAGTTTGTGTGTCTGAACAAACACGAAGTAAGTGGAAAGTGTATCTGTTTAAATGTTTATCTCTATAGGTGTGCGTGTACTAATGTATTCTCTTGTAGCGTTATGGATTTGTGAAGTGTTGTTTCAAGGAGTGGCTCTACGGTCCTAAGAATCAATGGCCGGAGCCATCAAAGGCAAAGGAAAAGAAGAAAGAAAGGTTAATTTATAAAGCACTCTGTCCAAGATTGGTCCTGCCTCCACCTGCCTTCCTGCACGAGTAGATTGATCGTACGTCGTGTCTTCATCGTCAGAGGACTCGATGTCGGCGTAGTCATCTTCTATCCACTGTACCCTCAGCCTGCAACGTGTCGCACGTTGGTACCAAGCTTGGTACCGCCTGAACTCACGGTTCATGTGCGGCTCGTTGTTCTCGTCCATATTGTCGTGCATCTCCTCCCATTGCTCAATGTAGTACTGGTGGTGCTTCTCCCAGACAAAAATCTTTCTGTTCTTCTGACGATCTAGCCTGCACGTATGTCATCGTTACTTGAATCCATGTACATGTCACCATATTAATGGAAATGGACCATCACGAGATATTTGAAATAGCAAAACACTTACTTGTGTAAGTCAACGCCAGTCGAGAACAGAGCCGTTGGTCAAAGTTGTCTCACTCCAAATTAGCGTGCAACTCTATGTGGCAGGTGGAACTCGACAGCATAAAAACATATTAGAGGGCACCTCATCCTATAGAAGTCGTCGTCGAACCCACACATGTTCCTCAAATGAAAAGGAAGTGCCCCCTCTCCATCGTACGGCTCCCACGACACCTGCAACATGTCCAAATAAGATGTTAGATGGTATACTAAACTATTTCAATCTAGCATGGGAAATAAAATTTACTTACACTAGACGCCGTGAGGGCGCACGACGCACACGGGCCGCACGAGCGCTTCGGGCATGGACGGGTGGGGCGGTGAGGGCAGGGCGCGCCGAGCAGTAAGTGGTGGCACGGGCGCAGACGGGCTGGGAGCGTGAGAGCGCGGCCGCAGCAAGGGCGAAAGCGTGCGGGCGGCGGGGGCGCGCGGCGGGAGACGGTAGAGAGAAAGAGAGAAAGGAACCGCAGGCCCATAGGTAAGAGGGCTCGACACCAGGATTGTTGGCGCGGAGCTGGCTACCATGTCAGCGTCTATGGCGCCAACGTGACCCCGAGAAAGAAGGGGCTGCAGGTATTTATATGTGGGTCATTTGTAGGGACGGATCGCAGTTATTTATACGTGGGGCATTTATAGTGGCGGCTGGTGAGTGAGCTGCCCCTACAAATCGACCCGTTTGTAGGAACGGCTCGTATCACGAGCCGCCCCTACTGTGTCATTTATAGGGGCGACTGATCTCATGGGTCCCGGTACATCCACTGTAGGGGCGGCTCTATCACCGGCCGCCTTAAAAAAGTCATCCCATTACTACAAACATTTTTTTTAGTAGTGGGCGGTGTCGCGGTGGGGATGATGGGAAATCCGGCCGGGCTGTAGGAGTAGGTAGGTGCCCGCCGTTCGTGTGCTTCCTCGGATCCTCCAGTCTCTGTTCACGTCGCGTCGCGTCGTCGCCTTTCAGATTTCAAAACGACGCCCCCGTCCACTCAGTGCATGGTACTCGCACTTGGATCGCGTCAGGGCGCGTTAACGAGCGACTAGGCGCGCACTGGGGATAATAAGCGAGTTTCTATTCCAGGAAGGCCATCGATATGATCGATTGGGTGGGCCGTTGGCACTCATCACTTCATCAGTGATCACCCTAGTATAGCTTCTTTTTTTGGCAGTTGTATGAACAGCTGTCAGCTGGCCTTGGAGCATCCCCAACACATCCCATCAAACACTAGTACTCCGTAGTACTCCTACGTAGTAGATTGTAGATATACTGAGTAATTCACACGAACGACCAAGACTCCAACAGGGTCCAAGTCCAACACAGGTGGAACTGCCTATGGTTTCTGGGAGAACTGAACACGAAAAAAAAAAGGTACCCAGAAAGCAACAAAGGCCTCGAGTTACGAAATCAAAATCAGCCAGGCCGAAAGAGAGAAAGCATTCGGTTGGAGATGAGATGGTGGCCCAGTTCGCGTCGGATCTTGCGTTTCCTTTTGCCCTTTTCGGCAAATACTAAAATGAATAGGGTTGTTCCCCCACTTTAAAATCTGATGCCTTTGGTTCATGTACTGATGTTGCTTACTTATTACCTCCACGTATGTGTTATATATATATATATATATATATATATATATATATATATATATATATATATATATATATATATATATATATATATATATATATATATATATATATATATCAAATGCTTCTCCTGTGCATTGGTTGAGTTTTAACCAAATTTTCTGCTTCATTTGCACAAATGGCAAAACGCCTTTGCCGAGCAGTTATTTGTTTAGTGTTCAAAAACTTTTCGGTGAAAGCCTTTGCAAAGCCACTCGACAGGGTCTACCAAATGACACATGCACACCGCATGGTACGTAGCAACTGGAGCAATAAACGAAAGCGCCTCGGAGATCGGTAGCAATTTTCTCTAGTGTGGAGTACCTAATTGTGACAGGGATATATTTCTTCTTGGTTTGCACAAATGGAACCGGTGTGGCGATCTGCATATATAGCCCAGATTTAGAAGCTGAGAACTAAGTACAAGAATGACAAGTTGATTTGATCACAGAACAGGCAGTGGCTCTTCTCCATTTTTTAATTCTTATTATAGCTGCAAGTGTGCCGTTCTTTTCTGGTTAATGCGGTTGGCACGTAAGCGGTTTGCATGTTGGGGGAAAAGAAATGTGTTCTATACCTTATCAGAAATTTCAGTTCAAAACCTATTCAGCAATCAGCTATGGCAGGCGTCTTCTGCTTAGTTCAACGCTCTGCTGCATTTCTCGATATCTCGGTGTCTATAATTTGAGATTTAATTATTCTCGATCATCCTGTCGAAAATAGAGAGCTCTGACTTTTGATCGTAGCAGTTTCTTCCTTGACATGTATAAATCCGGACGTGCATTCGTTCCTCGGCAATGCAACAGAGCTGATCATACTGTTACTGTCACTGTGACACTGTCAGGCCGTCATGTCTGACGGGGGCGAGAACCTCGACGACGACGGCTCTGACCTCGGCCTCGGCGGCAGCTGGGCGTCGTCGCACTCGCACCACCGCACGGACAGCACCGGCTACAGCGTGCGCTTCCCGCCGGAGAACAGCTTGCTCGATGACTTCTCCACGGCGGTGAAGGACATGTTGTTCGCCGGCGACGACCCGCTGCGGCAGTACAAGGAGCAGCCGAGCTAGTCCAGAAGGGCCTGTCTCGGCCTGCAGCACGTGTTCCCGGTGCTCGACTGGGGCAGACGCTACACCCTCGACGACTTCAAGGGGGATCTCGTCGCCGGCCTCACCATAGCCAGCCTCTGCATACCTCAGGTGAATTCTTGCATCCATTCCAAAAATGAACATGGTGGTTTATTTAGCTAAATGAGTGTTAACGTTTTTGGACTAGGACATCGGATACTCGAAGCTTGCTAACCTGCCGCCAGAGATTGGCCTGTCGAGGTCCTCACCTGAACTGAAATGAAACACTTTTTTTCTCTTTTGTTTTGAATGACAGACAGCAGCAGCTTCGTGCCACCACTGATATACCCTCTGATGGGAAGCTCTAGAGACATAGCCATGGGTCCCGTGGCCGTCGTGTCACTCATGCTCGGCACTCTGATGCAGAACGAGATCGATCCCAAGAAGCCCCCGCTGGAGTACAGGCGGCTAGCGTTCACCGCGACGTTCTTTGCAGGGATCACACAGGCCGCTCTCGGCTTCTTCAGGCTAGGATTCATCATAGAGTTCTTGTCCCATGCCGCCATCGTTGGATTCATGTCCGGTGCTGCCATCACCATCGCTCTTCAGCAGCTCAAAGGCTTCCTTGGCATAAGGAACTTCACTGCCAGAACCGACATAGTCTCGGTCATGAAGTCAATCTTCAAGAGTGCTCACCATGGGGTAAGTTTGCATACTGTGCTGTACATTCGACATTTCGCTCTTATTGTTTCAACAGGTGATGGGAGGTTTTGAGACAACTTTTTTTTTAATATATGTTGTTGCTACTACAAACAAACAGTGGAACTGGCAGACGATATTGATCGGTGCATCGTTCTTGGGATTCCTTCTGGTCACCAAGTACATTGTAAGACAAACTGAGTTCCACTGCCACTCCCAAATGATCATGAGCCATTCATTTAGTTACATCGGACGGTAAGAATTATCTTTATTAATTTCTAAGAGGTAATGTGTGAAATATATATTTATCTAATTTTTATTTTTGTAAAATGTGATAAATAAAGAAAGTTCTAGATATAAAATCTTTTTTCTAGATCTAATTGATGCATGTATAATCTATTAGATATGGTAGATCTTTTTATTTTGCAAATTTATGGACATGATTTGATTAGCATAAACTGCTGATCTTTTTTTATACATGTTAATCTCACGTGATTTGTTTCCCTAACAAGTTTTTTTTCTGAATTAGTCTCAATTAGTCTCAATTATCTGAAAACCAACGTCATAGACCCAGTCCACGTGGTTTGTTTCCCGAACAAGTTTTTTATCCACGTGATGAGGCCATTTGATAATATTTATTTTTTATTTAATTAGGTTAATTAATTAGTTATTAATTCAAAAAATCTGAAAAATCAATGCTTAGATTTATTTGAGGTATTATCTTCTGGTAAGTAAAGGGAGTACCGTAGCATTGCCTATTACTGTTTACATTATTATCGAGGTATACACCACGCTGTAGTTTCACTGAGACAACTGATTGTATATAGGGAAAGAAAAAGAAGAATCTCTTCTGGATGTCTGCGATTGCGCCGCTGGTTTCGGTGATTCTATCAACCTTCTTTGTGTACATCACTCGTGCGGACAGGCATGGCGTGGCAGTTGTAAGAGCCACTCTTGACTACTCACAAGTTGCAGAAAGACACCAAAAGTTTAGTTGAAGTTAGCAGTGAAGCTTAATTATCACTGGTTATGTTATATTGCAGGTCAAAAACATAGAGAAAGGTGTCAACCCGCCTTCAGCTAGCCTCATATACTTCAGTGGCCCGTTCTTGCTGAAAGGATTGAAAATTGGAGTGGTAACTGGATTGATAGCCCTAACGGTAAAACAAACTTCATTTCGTTTCAAAACAGCACGCGGTGGAGGACAGCTAAGCTAGCAATTTAACCTATATATGGAACAATTACCAGGAGGCAGTTGCAATTGGAAGAACATTTGCTGCCATGAAGGACTACCCACTAGACGGGAACAAGGAAATGGTAGCTCTAGGAACCATGAACGTGGTAGGGTCGTTGACTTCCTGCTACATGACCACGGGTAACTGCACTATTTCAGCTTGAAACCAATCGTACAGCGCAGCACAAACAGTTGTATACATTCTTTCTTTCTGAACAAAATCTTTTGATCTTGTTTGGTGGTTTTGGGCGATCAGCGGTGAACTGCATGGCTGGCTGCAGAACAGCAGCATCCAACATGGTTATGTCAGTTATAGTGCTCCTGACGCTACTGTTTATCACTCCACTGTTCAAGCTCCTGATCGCTCATCATATCGGCGGTTATCACTCCATTGTTCAAGTAATAGTGTTCAAACATGGACTAATTAGGCTCAAACGCCCAATGCCAAACAATCCTCTACATTTAATGCTCCATCATCATCATTCGATCGGCGGTGCATGGCCTGATTGACTACAAGGCAGCGTACCGTATCTGGAAGGTTGATAAGCTGGACTTCTTGGCGTGTTTGGGAGCCTTCTTGGGAATCGTGTTTTCATCAGTGGAGCATGGCCTGCTAATTGCGGTATATATGGACTAACTAATTCCAACGATTTCTGTTCTAGCTGCGACCTTCAATTGAATTCCTTGCACATTTGAAACAAGGGCTAATGATAGTAGAACTTCTTTATTGTTGAATGGAATAGGTTGCAAATTCAGTTGCCAAGATACTTGTCCAAGCAACACGGCCCAAAACCGCCTTGCTTGGCAACCTTCCAAGAACGACGGTGTATAGGAACATTGAGCAATACCCAGAAGTTACCACGGTGCCCGGGGTGATCATTGTTCAAGTGGATTCAGCTATCTACTTCACGAATTCCAACTATGTTAAAGAAAGGTAATATTAACTGGTGTTAATAGTATTTTCATTGTATACCAACCTTTTGCAATATATGTGATGAACACTTCATTTCAAGTATACTATTTCTTTTTTTGAAGAAGCACTGGCATAGGGGAGGAAGAGGAACAAACATAATATAATTAATATTAGCGTGAAATCTCAGATAAACTTGGGCATGTGTTTGTATGAAACGTTGAAAATGTTTCTTTATTGGAAAGAAAAAAATAATATAGGACTGATGCAGCTATTAGAATCAAATCCAGGAAAGTCAGCACACGCTAACATATATGGTTACCTGTTGTGTAAGCAGTATGATATGGCTGCATGTTGAAGCAACTTGTTAGTTGGATATGCTAGCTAATTACAATGTGTTAGGTACATCATTGCATCATGTTGAGTACCACTAGCACCGCGTTCTCCTATGTCAAATATTAGCGACAAGCAAACTATTCTTCACTAGTTTCGTGTCCGATTACCGATTTTCAGAATCTTGAGGTGGCTGAATGAGGAGGAAGAACGGCAACGAGAACAGAAGTTTCCCGGAATTGAGTTTCTGATTGTTGATCTATCTCGTAAGATCGAACAGTGGATATATCTATTCTCTATGTATGCAAAATAAAAACAGAGTTTTTTTTCAAATGAATTTCGATGAATTAGTTTGCATCAGCAGCACTGATACGTTGTTACTCTTCAACAGCTGTGGGTGACATCGACACAAGCGGAATCCACGCCTTGGAGGAGCTGTTCAGAACACTCGAGAAGCGAAAAATTCAGGTGAGACATGAAACCTGGTGCTACAATTCTTCAACTCCTCTCGCAGAACACTTGACCAAGAAGAAATTCCTTGTGCCTGCCATTTACAGCTGATCCTTGCCAATCCCGGTCCGGCAGTAATTCAGAAGCTCCGCTCAGCGAAATTCACAGAACTCATCGGCGACGACAAGATATCCCTGACGGTCAGAGACGCAGTGAAGAAATTAACTCCAAAGGCAGCAGATTGTGCATGAAGGAGATGCAGCGAGTTATGCACATTTGGAAGCACATACAAGCTTCAACTCCCATTTCACAATTAAGATTAATAATTTATAGAGCAGAGAAGCATGACTGTAAAGAAAACAGTTTGCTAAATTGTATGTACTTACAATGTGTGCTGGCTGGAGTTGGAGCACATCAGGTCTCCATCGATCAGTGCGTGTTTACATGGCAAGCGCTTTGGTTTGACGGGTTGAAAGGCATCACCATCCGCCATTTTGAATTTTGAAAGGAAAAATAAAAGTAAAAGAGTAATCGTCTCTTTGTCTGAAAAAAAATGCTTGTTTCGTAACCAACTGGGCCGAGTTCAGCACTCGTCCAAATGTGGGCCTCTACAGCTCAAAGCCCATTTAACAGAAATCCAGCAGAGGTGTGTGTCTTGTGTCTTCTACTCTTCTTCATTGTGACCTAGCGTTTGTGGATTTACTACTACGTCCCCACTGTCCAAATCACAGCCCACGCATGTGTCATTAAGCATCGTTATGTCACAGGAAAGAAACCTAGCACAGTACTAGCACAATAGAAATGATCTTATGATTAATTTTGGCATCTAGATTCGTTTCTTTGTGCTCATCAGGATATGGTCTAATCTAATCAAGCGGACAATTTTAGTTTACACACACACGTCGTCTTCACTTGGGTATATATACTCCTTTTGTGCATTCTACTAGTACTGCGTGACTAAACACTAAAGAATATTTGATCCGCCATGGAAATTAACTAAAATAAAGCAATGGACAATTAAGGTGAACACAACAGATTCTAGGTTCTCCCTTCTCCGTGGCATTATGATCCCATGACGTGTTGCCAATTCCTAGCGCAGCAAGAGGTAGGTGTGCCTTTTCCAACCTTTTTGCGCTTGTGGCGTCGGGCTCTTGTGCTTGTCTTAATCTCAGAAAATTGACCCTTGTGCTCTTGTAAAAAAGTAGCCTGAACAACAAGTTGAATCTTTTTCTCTGGCCTTGCGGTTGAGGATTGCTGGTGCTAACAACGAATTTTTCTGACCCACATAAAGGAAAGATATGATCACCCTTTTTTACAATTTCTTTTACCTTAAATTAGGCCCGGTGAGATTTCATCATCAGGCAAATTTGTAATAGGAACAGATTTCTTCCCCAACGGTTACTAGTCAATATTGTTAGTCCTAATGATTATATGATTATGTTGTTATTCGATTCTTTGCTGAGTCCAATGTTTCTTACAAAAGTATATTGTGCCTTGCCTTATAACTGTTTTTTAGGAAAAAGTACTAGACGGTTGCAATGTTCACACCAGCACTTTTGATCGGAGAACCGGTAGACACACGGGTGGTGGCTCAAATTATTACAGCTTACAAGCTCACCACTAGGGCGGGCGGCTGCGTTATCTTAAAGCAGAATTCTTGCCAAGTCAAACAGCTAGTAATAGGCTAATAGCCACTAACTCAGTTAGGTCCTGTCATCGACTTGCCTTCAGCTAGTCTCTGCCCTCGTCCACATATAAGTATGCTTGCTGTTGCTGGCTCCATCCATCCAGCAGCGTTGCGACCTGCGGATCGCCGGTGATCATGATGGCCGGCCTGAATCGAATCGATCTTGACGAGGAGAGCTAGGTTAGTGATGTGATTTGACAAGAGGATGAATAGGGGGCCGCTGGGGATGTGATTTGTTGGCATCGTTCTGTCTTCGGTATCTCTGCGTCTTCGTGTGTTATTAGATTGGGAACGGGTTGCTCGCACGATCTAAATATGGACATTCTCTTTTCTGAAAATTCATTTATAGAAATGATTTTTTTTAGTCTTGTTGTTGGAAAAGATGTCGAATAGGTATTGAAGCTTTTGCCTATAACGCTACCCAAAGGACGAATATGTCTTGTATTTTGGGTGTTATTATTAAAGATAACCTTAGTCTCCTGCTTGTCCTCTCACAACACTCAACAGATACCCTATTTGTTTGGCTAATAAGTCATAACTGAAATTACTGTTAGCTGATTTATTTTGAAAAAAAAAATATTATTTGTTAACTGGAAAAATACGGCTTATAAACGAAGAGCGAGAGTTCCTTCGAGACTTTTTTTAGTTCTCCTCGGCTGGGACCCTGAGAGCGAAAACCTATTGCTCCTTTGCCTCTCTCTCATGCTGACATCCACGAGAAACGGTACTAGCATATTCGCGAGAAAATAATTCAGAAACCCAAAAAGAAACTGAAGTAGTCTGAGATTTACTAGATAGCATATATATGAGCCACACAAAGTACATGTCTCCGTCCCAAATAAAATGAAAATCTCACTTTCCAAAAAGTTCAATAATCTTAAATTTAATAGGTTTACAAAAAAAAAATCAATATTTATATTTTTAAATAAATATATTATGAAAATATATTACATGATTCATATAATCATACATATTATTATGCATCAAAGATATCAGTACTTTTTGTATTTATATAGTTTGAGATTATTTGACTCTGAGATTTTCATTCTTTATAGTAGCATCGGCCCGGAGCACTTCTCTTTTTTCCTTACGGTGCATGGCAACGCAGTGACATGGAAAAGTAAAGTTTAATTGACGCTGATATATACATGCATCAGCATCACTGCTCACAGCTAGAGCGAACCGTAAGAACGCACATGTGGTTGTAAGCTTTCAGCCTATCACTATACCTGTTTAATAACCCGGGTGACAAATTTTTCATGAAACAAAAAAAAACATGCCACCACATATGCCGTCATTAGAGCATCATCATAGCTACTACTATAAAAAAAAGACTACTCTGAGTAAGGGCCTATGTTTTCTATGTTGTCGTCTCCAACGACAGTACTATCTAAGTCAGACTGAGCCTGTTCGCTGGTTGGTTTCTTGGCTGATAAACCCAGCTGGTGCTGGTTTGCTGTGAGAGGAAAATACTGTACCATGGCTGATAAGCCCTGACTGAAACCAACAAGCGAACAGGCTGAGAGTCTCTTTCTGCTGTTTCTTATTTGCTTGGCTGGGGAGGGATCCTAGCAGGAGGGAGCTCGCCAGAGAAGAGGGGGCCATGGAGAGCTAGGCTAGATTTGGTCATGGTCGAGTGCAGAGCGGCGGCGAATGGCGGGGGAGGCGACCTAGGGAAGGGAAGGGGAGCCCGGCGGGGGAGGGAAGCCAGATCTAGGTGCAGGCCGACGACAAACGGTGGCACAGTGGTGGATGTTAGGCCAGTGGACCACTACGGGGTGGTCGTCAGGGAGGTGTTCATGATCGGGGGTGCGGCGGCGGCGGATGGGTGCTCCTTCTTGTTTCCTGGCACCGACGACCTGGAAAAGCAGCGGAATTGGTCAATGATTCCGCTGCCACTTCTTTTTCTAGTCAGTTTTGGTTTGTGGTGTAGAATAACCATAAGACTATACAGTAGTAGGATGAGGACGTTCGTCCATCCGGACGCGCGCCCTCTTTAAAAAAAACTCCACCTCGCACGCCATGCCACCACCGAAGCGCCTCTCACCGCCGCAACCCTCGCGATGCCGCCGCCCCGACTCCATCTCCACGTGGCTCCTCCCTTTCCCTTGTCGTTGCGCCCGTGTCCAACCTGACCCTCTTCCCCTCCGCTATGTCACCGCCTCCAAACCCACTCGTTGTCGCCGCGTCCTTCCTCCAGCACCACGTCTCCCATTTGGCTTCCCACCTGAACGCCCCGCTCCACGCCCTCGCCGCTGCGGCGGACCCCTAGGGCGCCTCCCTATCTCTCGTGCTCGCGCGCTTTCACCGGCACTCCCATCTTCACTGTTTGCAATTCCACCAAGGTCGTCGCTAGCCATAGGCCCAAGCCAGCCGCTGGCCGCTGCTAGGTCGCGCCACCATCCTCAGCCACTGGCTAGCCAGAACCGGTTGTTCCCCCACTTTGCACTGCGTCGTAGAAGGGTGAAAAACGTATGTTGCAAGCCATGTTTTAAGTGTTTCAGATATTTCATAGGTATGTTGCACTTGTTTTATATGGATGTTGCAAAAGTAAATCGAGATGTTGCATATGTTGCAATGGTTGTACACGTATGTTGCAAGCTTTTGTTCTCAATGTTTCATCTAGTTTTTCAGACGTATATTGCAAGTGTGTTTATTTGAATGTTGCATATGAACATATGTTTGTAAGTGTTTTTATCTAGATGTTATGTATGTTTCACAATGGTTTTGAGGTGTTTTTGTAAGTGTTTTAGATGCATGTTTCAAATGTTTCATCTGACTTCAGACGTATGTTACAAATGTTATATCTCCCTCCTGCTGCCTCGTTTCTGTGTCTCCTCCTCCTGAAGCCGGCTGGGCATCCGAACCAGAGACGTAGGCACGCGCTGCCTCTCCCCTTCTTCTTGATGCTGGTGACGTCCGGGGCAACACGGGCCCCCACTAGGGGCACGAAACGGAGTGTGTATATGTAGATATTTCTATCATCCAGAGCTATTGTGAACGAGTTCCGAATGTTACATCTACCTGCTCATTTTTCTTTTTGTATATGATAAAGAGTAAACTAGCTAGGGACGTGGCACGTGGAATCACAGGGTGTGAGTGCAGAGGGGAAATTCGGTATACATCAGCAAAAGTTGCCTCACAATTCAGTATACAAATACAAATAATTCTTAAATCTAACAAAGCATGTATATAATAAAAGTACGTGAGAAGGGACTTGCTTGTCTAGTAGGTGCGAACGAAGGAACCAAAATAATAAGAAAGAAAGATTTGTCATATTAGCAGGAATTCTTTTAAAATTGAGAACCTACAGTTTTTTAAGATTTATCATTTAGTGGAGCTTTCCTCTAGTCTACAAACTACACTACCTTTTAATAATTTTTTGATATAGTTAGATATACACCGTATCTAAATATATAATAATAAAATATCTAGAAAATCCAAAACGTCTTACAATTTAAGATAGAGGGACTACGTCTTACACACATTTGAAATAGGGCTGCAAGTTTTGGAGGGCATTTCCCAGTTTGTGAATCTCTAGCCGGTATGGCAGCAGCCATAGTG